TATATATGCTGCCTGAAGAGTAAGGTTACACTGAAATTATTTGTTGACATTTTTAATAATTTATTAGAAACAAATATTTATAATTTTTATATTAATTATTAGTAGTAGTATTATTTAGGATATTATTATTCATATTTGGTTAATATGAATTATTATTAGTATTATCGTATTAGTCTAGAAAAATACATAAAAAATCTCACTTACACTATTTATATGAATTTCGATAGTGTTCCTATGATGCCTTAAAATGCTGCCTAGGTAGGCTGCTCACTATGTTTTGGAACAGAGCTTTTGATTTACTATGAGGTTTTCTTGTTCATCGACAGCGAGGACATATAAAGACAGAGAAAGCTGTGATATGGTGTGGCTGATGAGCTCAGCTGGGTTACTTGGATGGTTTGGGGACGTGGGGATCTCCAGGGATTACCGTGGTACGCTGGGTGCGAGTAGGATTAGCGGCGCTCCTGTTTTTGGCCTCATTTCCTAACGGTACTTTGTGTACTGAGGACCGCGACTGAGATGCTCCCAGAACAGATGTTTCTCATCCGGGAGTCATTATGAAACAAACCCGTGTCACCTGTCTGGGCGCTTAGTTGATTTGATGGAGGTTAGAGATCCCCTGCTTAGTGACCCAGTGGGATTGTGTTCATGTGAGGACAGCAGCGTCTTTATTATGAAGAGGAGATTGGCAGTGGACTGGATTTTTCATATTTAGTATGAAAAATGAAGTTTACTTAATTTACCATGAATTTAGTACAGATACGGGTACAATTTTCTTCTATAATACTTTATTAATATTAATATTTATTACAATTTAATATTGTCAAAAATTGCAGTCATTACTTTTGACTTTGAGTTTGAATAAATTATACTAATAATATGGACTAGATTATAATATAATTTAATTTAGATACAGATAATTTTTTCTTTTAAAATACTTTATAAATATCAATATTATTAAGATTTATTAATATGTAATATTATAAAATATTGCAGACATTACTTTTAAATTTGAAATTAAGATTCATATTATTGTTCATGAATTTAAATTCATATTACTGCTGTAAGATTTTTTATTACATTATTTTGGACTATATAATATATGTATGTATAATATGTGTTTATATTTAAGCTATTTATGAAACATTTTATAATTATATAAGTCATTCATATAAATAATAATAATGTAATACATTTATGTGTATATTTATGTATATGTGTATATATTAAATTATATATTTATAAATTTGTATTATTTTTTGATACCCTAAATTAAAAAATCTTAATTTGCTTTTCTTACATACCGTGCCATTTTAAATATAATGGCATTTCACGCAGGCAAATATTTTTGTTTAGTGTCTATTGATGTAATGGTATAAATAAATATAAATAATATAAATATAAAATTAATATCCTGAATTTATTTAGAAAGAAATATGTCTAATCAGTAATCACATTCAGGACATAAATGGACATAATTAATTTTGTAATTATTGATGTTGTACAGCAGAAATTTAATTAATGAAATTCATTGGCTATGTGAATTTCTTTAAATTACAATAAAGTAAATAATTTTTTCCCCATTCGAATTCAGTCAAATTCAACATACTGTGGATGTGACCAGTTCAATTAAAATTCATGAATTCAAAGGTTTATATATGTTTTATTAATTCATAATTTTGCCCAACCCTGACTGATAAGCTTAAGTGATTCATAACAATAAATAATAAAATAGTAATAAATATTTGATTTACCATTAACATCGTCAGTGCTGGAATTTGTGGATTTGTTGGGTGTTAAAACCGAGCTTGTGCTGTTTTGTGAACATCATGGTCAGGCTCATCAAATGAAGCGTCTCTGTCTGTGAGTGTAGAGCGAAACCTGCCGCACACCTTCAAAGTCACAGCGCCGCAGGTCAGCTGATGAGGGTGTCCTTGTTTCTCAGAGCCGCGTGCATCATGTGCTGCAACAGACGAGCCAAACGCAGCGCTGCGACCGTGTGTGTGTGTGTGTGTGTGTGAGATCTGATCTGACATCCTGTACCTGTAGAGCATCCAGCGCCGCTCCTGGAGGATGGGATACATTTGCATACGGAATGAGCCAATGAATATCAAGGACGGGATAGGAGCGTTCGCTGCTTATGCTAATTATGCCCTCTTATTTGACTTCCACTGTCTGCTTTACTACAACTCAAGCGCTGCCAGTGAGCAGTTAAAGGTGCTGGAAGTGATTTCAACATTATTTACTGGACTTGCACCATGGTCACACTAGACTTTGAGCTAATTTCTACAGACACGACAATGAGTGTGACAGTCTGTGAAAAAATATACATTAGCAGTCAAACGTTTGGATGACTTTTCAGAGTTTTTGAAAGAAGTCTCTTATGTTCACCAAGGCTGCATTAATTTGACCAAAAATACAGTAAAACAGCAAATTTGTGAAATATCATTGCAATATTACTGATGCACTAGTAATATTATATTATTATATATTACCATTCCAAAAGTTTGGGGTCAGTCATTTTTTTTTAAAGAAATTAATACTTTTTATTCAGCAA